TATAATAATAATACACTTATATATATAATAAATATATATATGGTATAATAAAGATTTCCCCAGTCTGATGAGGAATAATTGTACTGATACGCTGTGTTTATCTCCAGAGTTCAGGGAAACTGCTTTGTCTTGCCTTATGCCAGTCATTTTGTACTTTCTCTCCTGTTTCCAATATCCTAAAACAAAAGGTAGTTATTACATTTACTGCTTCGTTTAAGCTCCCTTTGCTGCTTTGACCCGTCAGGGTCCGTTTAAAAATTCTACTTGCGTGCTTAGTGTTTGCAGCTTAGGTCTTGCTTAAATTACTGTATTCATTTTTTGCTTTCTTCTCAGTATGACAATAGAGGAACATGGCATCCTCGGACCTGGAAGATTTATGCTTTCACATCAATAAGAAGATTTCAACTATTAAAAGGACTCTTCAATTAAGAAGCATAGGTAAAAGAAATTAAGAGTGGGTTTTGGTTTGCACCGCCTTGCAGAAAATGGGAGTGCTCTAATTAGATGAGGAACGTAACATGAAATGGAAATTAAATAAAATGTAGAGAACAATAACATAAAAAGCGAGTGAGGATGGCAAAATGGGAGCTTTACCAGGGAACCAGGTGCCAAGCAGAGAGCATGAGCTACGTGAAGTATGCTGCTCTGAGGGACTTGGAGACTGGTGCTTAATGCACCCTATATTCTGTATACTTGGTGGGGAAAGCTCCAGATGAGAGAAGGAAAAATATCTTGGTGAGTATGTTAAGCCTGATTAACAAAGTGTGTGAAGGCACAGATGGAGGCTTATACAGGTGCCTTGTCCTGGCATTCCAGGGGCGCCTGACTGTGGTGTACACACGCAGTGGGCATTAATTAAACTGAGATACTGAAATTGATCTGAATGTTTTACGTTTATCTCTTACTGTTTGCTAGGCACAAATAGACATTGCGTAGGATCATAGAAATGTTGGTTGGGAGGTTCGTCTGGTCATCTAGGCTAACCTCCTGTTTGAAGAGGAATGATAACCCTAAACGGGGGGAGATCGCAAAGCAGAACAGAGTGCTCCAGCCAAGCGGTTGTGAAAGCCAGGCTGCGTTTAAAAGCTGTGTCCTCCACCTGCAAGCTGCAGCAGTGGTGGGTACAGCTTAGCGCTTTCCAGCCTCGTGCTGGAGAGGGGCCTTTATGCCTCAGCAGCTTTGAACTCTGTTGGCTGCATGAAGTAGGAGATCGACTGTTTGACTAGCAAATATTGCTGCTTCTCCTGGCAAGATGGGGTGGTTGGGGAGCACAGAGTTAGCAGATAATCACTGCTTGCGGCAGGGAGGCAAATGGGATTTTTGGTTTTGTTGTGGAGGTTTTTTGGGCTTAATGTTCTTTCTTTGACAGGTCAAGAACTATCCTACAACTCTATGCTGTGTAAGATAAGATATGAGATTGTTCTCGTGCATGACCTCCTCAATAAAATGGAAGCGGAAATTGAACAGCAAGAAAAACTGAAGAATTTGCTAAAAGTAATCTTTTTTTTCTTTTCATAAAATATTGAAAGAGTCAAAGGAATCTTTAAGAAGTGCATAGTTGTTCTTTTCTAGATCCCAAGTGATATATTTGGATGCATGTGCTTATAGATCCCAAGTGATATGTTTGGATGCATGTGCTTATATGTGAACCTGAGACTCAGAACAGGCTAACTGGTTGTTTATTAAGCAGCTCTCCAGTATAGTGAACATTAAAAAAATTATTTTTCAAGGTTTATACGTTGAAAGAATGTCTTTATCATAATAGATACTGTGATCCAAAGAGCAGTTCTGTTTTTATATCCTTGCAATAGCTATGAAAACTATTCCATTAGAGTATATCTGTTCTTTTAGCCTGTGTTTGCAGTGCTTTTGTGTGTCAAGTGATTTGTGAAAGTGTTGTTTGGGGAATGTAAACGGGTTTCCTGTAGCGTCTCTTCATCGCCACCACCCAGACCTACTAGGGTATATTGTTGTGCCCAGCAACAGGACAAGGGACAACGGGCACAAACTGAGGCACAGGAAGTTCCGTCTGAACACGAGGAAGAACTTCTTCCCTCTGAGGGTGACGGAGCCCTGGCCCAGGCTGTCCAGGGAGGTTGTGGAGTCTCCTTCTCTGGAGATATTCAAGACCCGCCTGGACAAGGTCCCGTGCAGTTTTTTAACCCCTACTATTCTGTGATTCTGTTACAGGTTTACTTCTTGCCCACTCAAATTTCCCTGATGCTTTGAGGGCAACGACAGACAAGCTTATGTTTTCTCACTCTTAGCTTTGTTTTTCTGACCTTTGCTAGTTGCTTTTGGGGAAATCAGAGGGTAAAAATGTAAAATGGTGGGGAAAGAGCAAAGAACACCTCATAAGTTAAAAAATTATTTTAGCATTGCCCTCATAGCAAACTAGTTTTACTAGCTTAACATTAAGATTCAGATTTCTGATGAAGTCTAACGTTAATTTCAGGAGCTCCAAAAGTCTGCTGAGAGAGATCAAAATGAAGCACAAGACCTCCGTGAAAACATTCCTCCGCATCTGCCTAAACCAACTCAGAGCTGGTACGTGGTACACAAGCGTGGAAGTGTTGAGCTGCTCGTGGTAGTGTCCAGCTGCAGTACTGCATCTCCACCCCTTTTACCGTGTAGTTTAGGAGCCAAGGTTGTTACATGTATGGATTCTGGAGTTTTGCTCTTGCCTGATCACCACCAGGCTTGTGCTAGCACCCTCAAAAATCCCCAGGTAAAGCCTATAAAGTACCAAGCTGTTCAGATGGAAGCTTACAGTGGCCGGTGTGACGTTATAGTAGAAAGCTAGTTCTTCGATAAATCTGAGCATTCCTTCCTTTAGAATTGCAAACACACTGATGTGATAGCTGCAGTGCCCAAGGACTGAAGGGTGGGTTGATGATCCAAATGCTGGGTCACTAGAACCAAAGTTCAACACTGTCCTTCCAAATATAGTTCAAAAACAAAATCCTGTAACTCGATCATCTTTCTGTGGGGATTTGAAGGAGGATTGTGGTATTTTTTTATGCTCCTTTCCCTTCAGCAGCCTGGCATTTATTTTAGCTAGCGATGACACCCACCTGCCTGTGAGAGGGCTGTACTAAGAAGCTGTTCGTAATAAAGTAGCTCAAGTGAGAGAATGAGACACAAGTATGTGAAACATTTGCTACTATTCAAAAGGCTTCTAAGACATCATAACTCTGACTAGGTTTCTCAGAGTGGTCAGCTCTTTCTCTGGCCTGTTGGAATTGCTTTTTGATTTTGAGCGATGTTAGGGTATGCCAGATGGGGGTCTCTTCTGGTGTCTGATATCTGGAGATCCCAGAACTTGTTTTCCACCCTCGTAGCTTGTCAGAAGGCAACGCGTCAGTCTATTTGAATTCAGTGCTTCCGATATATGCCCTGAATCTATCAGCTTTACCTGGTCTTGCTCCTAATGGCAGACAAGCCTCAGGCTGTAAATATTACGGGCGTATTCCAGCAAAGTAAAAGGTTAAGGATGTTGAAACAAAGTTACAGAAGAGAATGTACTGTAATTTTAGATTGCGTGTAGCAATATTCTTATCTGTGTAGGTACTGCTTGTATTGAAACTTGGACTAGTCTTAGCTGGTAAAGAGATAACTTGTGCAGAAGCTTTTTTCTAAATGCTATCCTTCAGACACGAACCTTCCGTTTAGGAAATGGCCTCCTAAAATGTGTTTAGGGATGTCTTGTTCTTTTTCAATTTCTTTTTCGATTTGGAAGTTGCAGAATTATTTTTGAGTGTGAAAGAATGGAAGTTCTTCAGAAATTATCACTGTTGTTCTGCCTTCCTTTCATAACGTCATTAATTGAGGAACAACTTTGGCTTAAGTTTATGGTAGCTCCTGGAAATTGTTTAGATGCAAATGAGGCTTGTTTAGTGATTGTGTCGCCTCTGATGTCAAAGAGATTCTTTGGGATGCTGGTTTCCCTTCTGATCTTGTCCTGCTTTTGATTAAGAAGTTAATTGTGATACAAGTTTAGCTGGTCCTTCCCTTGCTAGACAGAACCACGCATGTTAAAACTTAGCATTAGAATAATAATGATTTTCTACAGATTATGCTGTCAGCTTACAACTGCTGTTCTGTCAGTGTCAGTTTGTGTGTGGGTGTTTCCAGAGGAGTAATACGCTGTATGTTAATGCTGTTTGTCGAAGCACCACTTCTCCGTTGTCCCCATGTTGTCACTTCTCAGTATTCACTGTGTTGTGCAGTGGAGGATCACGCAAGCACCAGACAGACTGTAACTGGTCAGAATCCATCTGTATCACTGTCAATGGGTCTTCAGTCTTCTTCTGCAACCCTTTCTCCATTGACCTTCTCTGTTTCTGTTCCTCTGTTCCAAAATGCTTGGGGAGCTGAGTACTAACTGTCTGTTGAGTGAATATCACGAGAGAAGTAATGCAGAAAGCAGAGTGAGCACTTGAACACCGGTGAGACAGGCCTTCAAATCTGAGAGAATGAGAACACCCACGCAGACAGATTGAACAACTCGTGGCTTTAGCTGTTGTTTTTCTCCTGCGTGCATGGGTTTGATGTTCTTATCTACCAGAGGAATCGCACCAAAATAAAAAGCAAATTCAATGTGCCTAAGCCCTGTGTGTTCCAGGTGTTCACGGAGAGAGCAGTTTCTTGCTATGCTAAAGCCAGATTTTTAATATGAGCTACAGTTCTCACTTTTCATGGTCCAGGTGAGCAGAGCGCTGTATGTGTACCATCTCACTGCAGCAACATGCAGGCAAGGTACTGGGTGGGAACCCAAGGCAGAAGTACCTGCAGGTGGGGAATGATCTAGAAAAGATTAGAGATTTGTTGCAATGAGGAGGATGGCAGGAGAATGGAGTGTGCAGGAGGAGGGAAGTTTTAGGATGCAAACTCGCCTCTCTCGGTCCTTATGTTTATCCTTCTATTCCAAACCCCCCTCCAACACCAACCAAAAATCCCCACCCTTCCTTTTCCCTCTTCCTCGCTGACATTCCCTGCAACTAGTGCTAGCTAGAGTGCTAGGAGTAGTTTTATGCAGGGCCTCACCTTGTTTTTCAGATGTTTACATCTGAATTAGTTTAGCTATTGGTGTCCAGCATTTCAGAAGGGCTCTGCATTGTGGCATGGCAGGGAGCAGAGCTTCCCCTGTCGCTGTGTCATAGACCAGGCTGTTTGGGAGTCCTGCAGGTGGCACTCGCTGTCCTCCGCGCTGCAGCCGTCTTCCCTGGAAAATGGGATGCTAGGTTTGGGGGTGTCACATCAAGTGACGCGTCAAATCCCAGTCCTCAGGTCAACGGGGCACTGCTGTGCGGCTCGCTGGCTGTGGGGCCCCACGTCAAAGAAAGATCTCTTTTGTGGGAAGGTTAGATCAGCTCAGTGCTGCTGTAGTTATTCCTGTTGCTTGTCACAGCCCCGTAATGTTCTTGTATTCCAATGACGGTGAATTTGGCCAGATGCGTCCTCTTCGTCCTCCTGCCGAGGAGTCAGAGAGCAGCTAGGTGGGTCGCTGGCAAATACCTTCATGTTTGAGCATCTAAGCTGAGGGTTTGGAGGAAGGGTGAATTTATAAAAATAATGCTGTAATAATCACTCAAAGCAGGAAATTCCTCAGCTTTTGGGATCTGGTCTAAAATAAAATATATATTTAAAAAAATCCCAGCATGCTGGATGGTGTTCAATTTCTTTGCTTCAAAAGATTAATGGATGAGTCAGCCTTCCCAAGATTTGAACTTGTTTCAAAGAGCTGTGAAGTATTTCAAATCTGCTTGTTAGGCTGCAGATCTGTGCTTTGGTTCATCTGATAAAAAGCGAGGCCTCATGTTCTGTGAAATGTAATGGTACACTGAATTCTGAACTGCTCTGTGCTGCCTTTGGACTGCTTCCAATTCACCTGCTAGCAGCCTCTCTCACAGAGAAATGAAGAGCTGTAATGAAGTCAGCTAAAATATGCAATTTGAAATGGAGCAGGCTTTCTTTATTTATTTTTCGTTTGGGCAAGATCATGAATTGTGTTCATCCAGCCTAACAGATGTGTTGCAACTTAGGTCTGTGAGTAAGCAGACTTGGTAATACAGTATTCTCCTTACTACTTACCTGCTATTTATATACTTAATATTCATTCAATTTCCAGTGTCACCAAGCAAACTGTGAAATGTGAAGAGCAAACAGAAGTTGTAGAACCCAAACATGCAAAGAAACCTACAAAAGAGCTGAGACCTATTAAGGAAGCACCCTTAATAACTGCAGAAGAATTTGAAAGTGTTCCTAGGTAAGTAAGCATGGCTTTTCTTAGATCCTGCCATGGGTGGCGAACGTAGGTGTGGGAAGGTGAGCTGTTGCAGGACTGAGACTGACAGATATTTTGAAATTTTAAATGTTCCACAGGATGAAACGTTGTGATGATGGCTCCAAATAGTTTCTATGCAATGCCGGCAAACCTGCAAATGAAATGAATAGAGCTAATTAGGTTCTTTTTTTATGTATATGTTGGGAAGATCAGAACTGATCAGTTGAAACCCAAACCTCTTATCTCTAAAGTCACTTTAATTGTATGAACAGAAATATATTAGCTAATAGGTGGGTTCTTTTCTTGTATTGAGAACTGACATTTAAAAAAACAAAAAGAGCCATCATCTCACAAGATGAAAGGTATGGTTACGCTTAAAGGAAAAATAATGGTTAGTAGTGCTGTTTTTATTGCCCTGTCTATTGGTTTCTGAAAACTTCAAGTCTTGACTTATCAATCTGTTTTGATACAGGAAAAGAAATAGGACTTGTTAAAAGCAAAAAACAGCTCCCACTGAAATATCCCAAATTTCTGGAATAGAAAGGTGTGGGTTTCTTCCCCTACCATCAGGACATGATTAATAGATATCCTTGTCTGAAGTCTGTCATGTAGGAATAACTTTCTTAAATGACATTTTGGGGACAATGACAAATATTTCTGCAAAAACGTGAAAATTCTGTTGATGCCTAAAGCTAAATTGTTATCTAGACTCTAGATGCAGTGTGTTCCCTGACAACACTTGTTTCGATATGAATTTTTGGTTTGTTTCGTCTGTGTTTTACTTGAGGCTTTCAAATCATCTTTCCTATTGCTTTCAAAATTTTCAGGTGAGCAGTGTCCATTTTCTTCCACCAAATTGCTCAATCAAAAAAAAATAATGTTGAGCTAATGATAAAGAACTCTTGGTTACTTCTTAAAAGTGCATGCACCTGGGATTTTTATTCTGCAGGTGGTTTCTAGTATTTGGTGGATTTACTCCCTCGGGTACTTCTGATAAAATTTTGGAAAGGTAAAAGCGGGAGCACAGGAATTTTTTGGTTTTTATCTCTGCTAAGGCAAGAGAAGTAGACATAGACCATTCTAGCCAAACGTTCTTTTAAGCTCCAGTTAAAGCTATGATCTTCCCTGATAGCCCCTTAAAGTGTTTCATTATCCTTGGAAGTGGAAGGTTTTGCCCTGCTGTTTGTGGGGACAGAGGCCAGCTGGATTCTCTTACGTTAATTGCTGGTTTATGGAAAGGTTGTGTCTTAGGCTGTGCTTGTGGGGCTGTAGAAATATTTCTGCTGAGATGGGAAAGGCATGCTTGTTCTGTGGAGGAAGATTTACATGAATTTAAATAGATCTATTAATCTGCTGGGGCTTTTTTTTTTCCCTGTTGCCTGGCAGTGTTGTAATACAAGATTGGGTGAGCCCGCTAGGCTTGCTATTTCACATACTGTTTAGTCAAATCTAAGCAGCAAATGTCTGTGACCCGAATTTTCTCACACCTAACCTAGTCTCCCAGAAAAATGAGTATTAGGTTCATATCCCAGTTCTCCAGGTCAGCGCTGGTTCTGATGTGGGATCTCTTTATACGTGCTGGCCATAGTAACAAGGGATGCTACTGATGCTTAATAGTAACAAGGAATACAGCGTGCCTGTGCTAGCGCAGGACTGCGCCTATGCCAAGCCTGTCTGAGCGACCTAATAAAGCACAACTGTGCATATGCATCACATAAATGTCTAAATGCTGTACCAGCTGGGTGTCATGGGTTTTGCATCTGCCAAGAGCCTCATTCTTCTCTCCCTTGCGACTGCAGCTGCGGCAGACTGAAAAATCTGGGTGGTTTTTACCCTCTTTGTGCTGAACATGGAGGAGAATCTATCCCTAACATCATTAGGGCGCTGAAAGGGATGTGCAGTCTTCAGTGACTGCATATTTTTAGAACTCTGCAGCAGGTATTTAAAAAAAGGCACATGCTGTGTTAAGGTGCAGATATGGAGCACCTTGATCAAATAGAATGCTCTCGCACAGTAAGAAACTTGCAAATTATCTTAGCCTTCAAATCTGTTGCAAAAAGACACTTTTTGGAGAAAGAAAAAGGAAATTGTGCAATAGATGTCTCAGTTAACTTTGAATTCAAGGCAAAGGAAAATACTTGCTTTAGCCTATCTCTGAAATTCTTACCGCTTAAGATATTTTTAGAATCTGCACGTTCGTTATAACTCAAAAGTCTCAGAAGGTGGTAACTTCGGGGAATATATGTTTCTTTTCCCCTAAGCAATTTTGAGGGAGCAGAGTTGGCCATGAGGAGGTTTATCACTTCTCCAGTGGAATGGATGTGATATATTGATGTTGTTATTTTCTTTGAAGAACATAACACTGTGCATTAGTTTTCGTACCTATGGAAAAAACTGTTTTGAAAAGGGCTTCTGTGGATTAAAAAGAGAAATTGCATCACTCGTGGGTTTTTTTCAGTCCTGAATGTTTTTGCTTTTGGTGTAGGTTTTTTTTAAGCAGATTTTAAAGTTATTTTAAATCTAAATTAAATGGATTCGCATGGAACTTCTCAGGTTTGTATTTTTATATTAGTGTATGGACTGAAATAAATGTCAGCATTTATAGGTTTTCTAGCCATGGCTGGATGGAAACATGAGAAGACTGTGGAACAGCTGGAGTTTTTTATGATCCTTACAGTTGTGCACAGAAGAAAAATTCCAGTTGCTTTTGACAGACTTTAGTTTCAGATTAAGGCACCTACATTGAAGTGGCTGACGCAGGTGTCTCCATGCTCACCGAGTGCCCCCACTCCCACTCTTGTCACTGAACGTCTAGTCAGTACGGTTGGTGAAACCAGAAAACAGCTCTCCTGCATCTGCTAATGGTGTTATTTCAGTTGTCTAAGTAGGAGATGCTTTAGCATGTACTGCCAGCTCTTACTGCATCTTCTGTAAACCCCAGCACATCTGCTAGCCCCGCGTGAGCATCTTGGATGCCCGAGGGCCTCTCAAAGACCGCTCGATTCTGAGGTTTAGGTGACCGAATCCCGCTTCTCTGTTTCTGCGTCAGGATGAGCTGAGGTGTTCTCTTGGCTTTATTAAGTGTATTCACCGCATCTCTGCTGACAGCAGGAGCATAGAGACTTAAATATAGGTATTTTGTACCTCTGGCCTTAACATTCATAGCTCTGCACGTTCTCTTGTGACTTTATAAATAGGCTAAGGGATGCAGATAGAGCAATAAATAGCAGTTAATGTACACAGGCAAAGCCCTTCTGTGGTTGTAGGCTGTGTTACTTGTTTATGCTGAGTGCAACTGCGTTTCAGGGGTGGTAGTGCTGCTTTTGTTTGAAAAGATGTCATGGGTGCCAAGTAGAGCGTTTTCATGAAAATGACTGCACCTCCAACTTTGAATCTGGATTGATCAAAAATATCAATGAAGCTGAAAACTGGCTACAAGTAACTTGGTGGGAATTAGGTATGAAATTAGAGGAATTGCTTTGATTTCAGGAGTATTTACACACCCCCTGTAGACCTGTTTCCCTGGCAGGGGCTGGCTGTTATTAAAATGTACAGCGAGCACTTGTTTTTAGTTGGAGGTTGTAGATTGCCTGCCGACATTCTGGTTTGGAATATCGAATTTGTAATTGATTAGCTACTTGTGCTTTAAATTCATTGTGTGTTTTCCAAAGATTGAGTTTTTCCATTCAGGTTAACATGAGGGAAGAATTTCCTATTCATTGATCTTTTCAGTCTTTACTGTCCTACAGCTTTTGGCCGCCTGACGTCCTGACCTAAAGAACCTCGTTCGCTCTTAAAATGAATTGTATCACTTTTCTCTGTTCCCCACGTCTGCCAACTGATACTGAACCAAACAGCCAGGTTTGGTTTGTTGTAGCGGCTGAATGGTGATCACAGGATAATCCAAGTTGCAAGGTTACTCTGGATTTTACTGCCGTGTTTTTTCATGGTTTTGTTATGTATTTGGCTTACTGCTTGTCATATGAGTTTCAGATTTCATTTTTATATAATGGCTTTTCAGTTTGTAGCCTCTTTCCTTTCCCTTGAATGCATGCCTTTACATCTATAAATACTGAATAGCCTTACTTGCAGATATTCCACTGTTCTAATATTTCCACATCACTTAGTTTTTGTCTTCTGTGCTTCCTGTACCTCCAGGCTTTTATCAAGAGATCTTATTATTTTAGTACTAGTTTTATGGAATGCTCTGAAAGTTCAGAAGAGGATGTTGGCAGTACAGAACTGTGTCTGTATAGCTCAGTAGGCTGCACAATAAAATAGAGAAAACAACACAAAACTGGTGGTACTTAAAAAAACCCAAATGAATGGCTGTAAGATCACACACAGGTTATTTATGTTTATAATATAAACCAAATTGCACTTAAGCAGAAACATTTAATTTCAGTTTTGACTTGTGTTGTTTTCTGCAAAGTTGCTTGGTTTTTTGGTGTTTGTAGTTTAAGTGGTATGCTGTAAAAGCAACCTTTATTCCATTTTAAAAGACTCCCTACAGCTTAAGCGCTGGATATTTTTTACCGCTTGATTTAGCTTTCTAATGTTTCATCTTTCTGGTTTTAGGATTTATCATGGCTTTTTTACCTTTGAGATTATTAAACAGGCAAGGAAATGAATAAATTTAACTACTATGTTTATTCATTAACACAAAGCAGAAGAAACTGCCTCTGACTAGGAATAGCATGTTCAATTAAGCCTGATGAAAGCACAGAACTTTGTTTTTGACTTTCTGGTTACTGATTTTTATTTGTAGGTATATGAGAGGCCGTTTAACATGTGATCAGGTTAATGCAGTTGTTCAACAAATGAACAAGGCTGTGGTGAGCAAGTACAAGATCTTGCATCAGCCTTTGAAGTCTATGAATGTAGCAGTCAGAAATCTCTACTACCAGTTCCTGGAACAAGAAACTAAGGATACAAAAGGTATTTTGTTTTTTCCTTTGTTAGTACCAAACTCATAAGACTTGGATATTGTAATATAACTACAAAAATACTGGACGAGATATTGAATCACTAATGACAGTACGTGCCTTTCATGTTATAGTGTAACGTACAGCATCTTATTCTCAGAAAATAGTCTGTCTAGCCACATGATAGTTGGTGGAATGAATGGCCTGACCTCTGGGAGTAGTATAAAACCATCAGTCCTGAAAAAATTTAGAAAATCTGCTATGGCTTATTCTCAGATGGGGAACCGGAAAAAATCAATAATCTGCAGACTGAGCAGGGCTTTCCCTTCCTTCCCAGCACGGGGTGCCATAGCCTAAATCAGATTTGGCCTTGAAGAATTCCTGTCCGCTTTGGGGGGCGAACAACGCTTGAACAGCCTGGAGCAATGAAAGTTCTGGCTCTCCCTTGATGTAAGGAGAGGAGAACAGAAACCAGATTCATCTCTGGATCGGATGCTTGGCCATAAGGAATATAAATGTCATATTACTCTACAGAATGGGGTAGTCAGTGTAAAATCCAGTCACCTCTTCTGGATAAACTCCTATAGCTTAGCAACAAGGGTTATTGTTGCGACTGAAGAGTTTTCCCGTAACTGATTTGGTTACTTTTTATATGTTTTCACTGAAAACATGTCACTTTCATGGTGTGTTGTAGCAAAAACATTGAGTGTGCAAGGGTTTAATTTGGAATCACTACAAGTTCTGGAAACTCCTAGTTTGATAACCAAGCTGCATAAACTGCGTTTTCAGGTTTTAAAGCTAGAATGGGCATGAACTATTTAAAATCTGTTCTGAAGTTAGGAAACCTGGTTAATCAGTCATGCTGTGGTGGCGTTGTGGAAGAGGCAGGGCTGTGTGATAACCTTAAGAAGTTTTCTCCTCCTAGAAGCATAGAGGGAGTGAAAATGCACCAAAATGTCTGTGTCTCAATTTAAAAGCAAGCTGTACTTACAGGTTAGTTTTTTCAAAGATATGTGGCACAGTAAATCTCTAATATTAAAATCTCCTATTTAACATTCCTTTCCTTTTGAGAACAAGTGTGTAATTATTCCTGGAGGGCTGCACTGCACATATCAAGCTTGGCGATGTCCTTAGGATGCCTTCGTGTTTCCAAGTTCAGACATAAAGCACAGAGCAAACTCTTCTGTCTCACAGAAAGAAAGTGATTTTTCTGACACCACCTTGGCACCTGCCTCTTGATTTCTGCCCTGGACAAAATGCAAGAACATTCTGCCCCAAGCATTCGCTGGGTACTCAGGGGTCACCTTATGACAAACTACAACTCTTCCTTCCTTCCTTCGGATTTGTCGCTGATCAAGACTCTCAGTATTTATGATAGGGTGATAACATCACCAACTTCTAGATTATAAATGCAGCTCTTGTGTAGGGAAGGAATTCTGATATGATGGATGTGCCTGGCATTTTTTTATTTTGAGACCTATAGGATAAACTTGTATGAAAGTCTGCGTTGTAAAGGACTTCGATAAAAGCATGCTAAAGGCACACAGCCAGACTACTTCATGTGACTGGCTTCTGCTTTGGGCTCAGATAGTTTGGGTTTCTTCTAGACAAGCTCTGCTTCGGTCTAACAATGGCTTACACTAATATGGGATTTCTTAAAATTCTTGCTTCATCATTTTTAACTTAGAGTAGATTTTGGTTTAATTGTTGCTGTCCTCAGGACGATGGTAAGGAATTTGAGCCCATGGCTGTAGAGAAGAGGCTAAATACTAGAACAGCCCTTCTAGGCCTGGGATGCTGCTCAGTCTGCACTGTGATCCACAGCAGCCTCGGAATTCTAGCAATTTGAGAAACTACAACTAGTCTCAGAGAATTTTCTGCCAGAAAGTATTTTCTTTAAAGTCTGAAAAATTAAGGCTTTTAATTCCTTCAAGGTATCTGAGAGACAGTCTTTATTTTCCTGTTTATGTTGGAAAGTTCAGTTAGGAAACTAGGACACTTAGCATCAGAGAGAGTCTGTGTATGGTAGGTTTGTTTTGTTTTGTTTTTGTTTGTTGTGGCTACTCATCTAGAAAGTCTAGAGAAAAGATTTGGCAGGCTGTCAGGTGGTTCTTATCTGGCCAGCACAAAATGATTAAATGTCTTTATCCATTGCGTTTTTCAGGATGAGGTTCTGCATTCATTGATTTGTTTGCTTAAATTTCTGCTGTGAGTGTCTCTCTGCTTAGGATTCCCACCGTTTCTCAGACTGGGCTGATTGCCAGCTGACCTCTTCCTCTGATTTCCAGACTGAGAAAAGATGCTGCCTGGTTTATCAGGGTAATTTCCCAGCCAGAAGGGTGATTCTGTTAGTTTAGCTAGTTATTTAGTGGAGGAACCTACTGTTTCCAACCAAACCACTGCCCTTTAGCCAGCTCTGGTTCTGCGTAAACAAGATCCTGCTGTGCTGAATGTTGCTGCTCTGAATTCTGGGCAAATATAAGAAGAAATAATATTCTGCACGGATTCGGGACATTCTGATGCTCCCCTGGATATAACAGACTGCGAAACCGGTCTGTGGATTATCCCTGGGTTCCTAATTGCCCTATCAGTGGAAATTGCAAATGGTCTCTAGCCAACTGTAGTTGTATTTTAAGCAGTTCTGTGGGTTTTTCCTTTTCCTAGTAAACAAACTTTCCACTTCTCATCTATGGGTGAATGTGGCAATGATGCGAGCTCTGTTCAGATTCCAGTATAGTCCCTGTTTGGGGGAAGACTTCCAGCTTTTGACAGTTGTCTCTGGAAGATTCTACTTTCAGTTAGGCACCTGTGTTACCAACTCTCAAAATGGCCCAGTCTGTGAGAAAACATGGCCTGTCATTCTTCAGCTTTGAGCAGTATTTTGGGGAATGCTACACTTATAAGTGGCGCTCTGGGACTTCAGTTCTAATGGCTGTCATGTCCTTGGCGTGTGTGTCCTGTTAGATCACTCATAAGGTGAAATTTAAAGGTGAAAAGTTTATATAAAAACACAGATTTGCCTGTGTAAAGCTACATTGTACTTGTTTAATAAACAAATAAAAGCTTTCCTGGCAGCTTTGGCTTTCCAGCTAGCATCAGCTGCTTTCTTCTCAGTTAAACTGGAAGGATTCTCCAATAACTTAATAGAAAGAAGGGGTGCTCCGTCTTATTTAAGATGATGCTGCCTCTGCCTTACTTTAAGGGTAAAAGGAGGAGGGAGAATGCTATCGTCTTTTTCCAAGCTATAAGACACCTAGCCCTGCGACTTCTTTCTCATAAGACTTGGAAGCATGGTACTACAGAAGAATATATTTTTCCTTCCGCTTAGTCTCCTTAAAGATAATTGGACTTTTCTTTCTTATACCTTAATTAGCATGTTCCTGGCTCCAGATTGCTTTTCATCCTTAAGGTTTTGTGAAGATGCATAGCTAAAACCTTATGCCATGTTACAGGAAGTATTCAAGGTACAATCATTTTACTAGATCTATAATTATCTCCTATCTGAGCAGTGCATAAAGACTAAATATGAAATCACAGCTAGCGAATGTAGCTATGGAGTGCTTAGAATAACTCCTTCCTTCCTTCCTCGCATCTACTATCAGCTTGTGGGTACTTTCTCTTGGGGTTCTGTTGCAGGCATTATAAATGCTTTAACTCCAGTCAAGGCCTTGGTTTCTTATAAGCACTTGATAATGAGAGTTTCCTTTTAGAAGCATCAACTACAATAAGGGATGGGCTGCCAGCTCTGGTGCAGGACTTGCCCATGCCATTTTCTTAGAGAGACACGGGAAGGATGCTTTTCCAAGTGGTTAGTCATCTTCTTGTAGTTTCTTAATTAACAAAGAATTATTTTTTTCCAAATCTGATGGCAGGCAAGGGAATGGTGGGGCTGCATAGCTCCTGGTGTATGCAGGGCTACTTGCTTTTGTTTGTGGAGGGCCAGTTCAAGAACTTCAGTGCCTGCTGAGAGAACGTCATCAGGCCACAGCTGATTTCGGACGTCACAAAGCAGTTACTTGGGATTCAAATTGCACTGCTGCTCAACCGTGTTCTGTGATGGAAACGCTGAAGCACGATGCCTTTCTTTGTGAAACTGTGGTGTGATCTTTAAGCAGACGCTGAGCATCTCTTTGGTTTTGGTCGGGTGAGTGCTTTGGGTGTCACTAACAGCAGAACGCCCATAAGCCAGGCCTCAAAGAGAAGTTTACTGCTAGGCATCATGGCACTTCAAGCCGTGCTGTCAGTTGACTCTCTGCTATCCCCATCTTCTGGCACATCTGTGGAACGTCTGGTGTCTGGCCCTTGGTGGTGTTTGGGACTGCTGCAGACTTGATACCCGGATAGAGGAGTGTGGATTGTTTGTGAGATGTTAGCAGGCGCAGCTGGCAGCAGACGGAGCTCGCTGCAGGGGGCCTGTGGGCGATGCAGGCAAGTTGAACTTAATGGGAAGGTTGGCAGTTCTTCTTTCTGGTGACAAATTTAGAAAGTGGAACGAAGTTCCTGAATCAGTGTGAGGCCTTCCTACTGCCAATCGTATTTTTTCATCAGTGTGGGGAATTGTTAAGAAGAGGTTGTATTGTCACTTGTGAAATGTTAAGCGTATCCTACAACATAAAAATTTCTATAGCAAAGTCTTTATTTGTTTTCCAGGTGAATTTTTTATTGTGGAGGCTGACATCAAAGAGTTCACCCAACTGAAAATGGATAAGCGCTTCCATAGCATCCTCAATATCCTGCGCCACTGCCAGAGAGTGAGAGAAGTTCGTGCCTCAAAACTTGTCCGATACATCATCTGCTAATGAGCTCTCTGGATTCTGCTTACCCAAGATACAGAGGGCAGAAGTATTTTGAGACGCAGAGAGGTTTTGTTGTCTGCAGAGAGGTTTTACGTGTGGGCGTTCCTATCCAGCTCTCTTGTTTTCTAAAAGGCAGTAGTGGGGAGCAAGAAGTGTGTTTTCAGACCTCTGTCCTAAACTAGGAGTGGCAATATCGAACGGCCTTGAAGTATTCGAGTTTTGTTTTGAAAGCTTGAAAGGAGCTACTGTCTTCTGGTAAATTACAAATGCGAAGCAGATAGGCAATTGGCGCACCTGTGGTCACAGGCAGTTTTAACCACATTTTCAGGTCAGCACTTGAAAGTTAAATTCTCTGCATGTTAATAAAGTTCCTTTTGTGTTTATGAGTTGGAGGCTGTGTTTAAGACTGTAGCTACTCAAAGGAAGCATTTGATTCTTTTTTTAAACCCCTCAAACCAATTTCCAGATTTCCTTTGCTTAATCTTTTTCTTCTCCTAATTGTATGTTTTGGAGTTTTCTGCATCGCTTGAACAGGAAGATCAGAGGTGGTTTAAACACTTTCAGATTGCTGATTGGTAGTTCTGTTAGCCATGTGGTTTTCATATTTTATCATGCAGCCAGATTTTTCCCTTAGAGAACCCATTAGACTGAAAGAGTAGAGCAGCAGGGGTTTTTTGCGTGAAAATATTGACTTTCACTTTGAAAATGCTGGTTAAACTCGTCATGGTTTTTATTATAGAAGATTGCTTTCAAATGTCTTATTAGTGTAGTAAGTATCATAATAATTCTACTCTGGAAAATATCAACTCTGCAAGTAATCAAAACAGTTTTGAAAAGAGGAGTTACGGTGGTTTTCTTCTGCGAGCCTGTACCTGCTGTTATCCTAACGCCTAATGTAAAATACCTCCTCTTGTACCTTGTCAGTGTTAAGGTGACAGTTTAATGAGCAAAAGACCCTGAATGAACTTTGAACTTCTCAATAAAGAGGTCCTGGTGAGCGCTTTATAAACCTCGATTCTCTTTTGTATGTGTGGTTGTTTTGGGGGGAGGTTTTGGTCTTTTTCTCTGGGATGTTGTGATCGAAGCCGAGGTCTCTACTCTGCATCGTATGGAAATTATTTTGTGTACAGGTAAACACACAGCATAGGAGGATGTGTGAAATCAATTTCCATAGGTGTCAGATGAGTCCATCTGTTTCTTGCGAAGCTTATTTGAAGTTAAATAAAGTGTAGAGGCTTGGGTCCATGGATCATCAGGACATTTTTTTCTTTTTTGGCCTAGCTTCATGTACTCTGAAGAGTTTTTCAAGATTCAGGACTTGCAACTTTCTATTAAACAAAAAGAAATCTCTTCATAAAGCAGTTACACTGCCTTGCCCTTTATTTCATGTTTGGTTTTGACATTTCCCAGTGTCTTGCTCCAGAGTGTCCAGCAGCCTAACTTCTGGTTTCTCCTGCTCTGCTCTGACCGTCCGACTCCTCAGCTCTCCAGCCCACACCAGGCGAGATCCCCTTGCGTGGGCATCCCTGGAGGGAGGTTGGTCCGTTGATCATGGGGCTATGCAGTATTTACAGCAGATTGAGTCTTCTTCCTCTGCGATTTGCTTTGCCGTTACACGGCTTTAATTTTAAAAGTGTGGGGATGAAGCAAAAAGAGCCTGAAAGGGACCCAGAAGAGCCATGTCCAAGTGAATGCCTTGCTGTCAGGAGAGGTTGAACTACACAGGACAGTTATGGCAGGCTTAAGAAGGGACTTGATGGGCAAACAAGACTGAGGCACAGGTGTCTAGTGTTTCAACTATTGTTATAATCAAGGAAGGACGAGAGACCCTATCTTAGCGATTCTTTAAAACTTCAAAATGTATGATTCCTTACTTCAAATTAGCAGGACTTTGGATTGTGAAAGTCGGGTCAGGAAACAGGCAGCTGTGGCAGCTCTATGGGACCTTCTGGCCAGGCACAGAATCCTCACGAGCAGATTTAAAGGCTGGAGCAGAGCTAGAGCAACGAAAACTGACTTGACAGCTGGAAAATCGTAATTCCCTGGCATCCCATGTGCTCAGGGCATTCCTGTCTCCTCTCTTGAAAGAGACTTTGGTGTTTGCAAAGTGTTTTGGGGATAAAACGTTTGTCTCCGGGAGTTGCCTCCGAAGACGACTATCTTCTGCTCTCTGTTCACCGATTTCTCTCAGGCTGGTGCTGCCTGTACCTTTCGTCAGCGTAGGGTTAGCGACAGCGCAAGATCTCGCCAAGTGATTCTGACAGTCCTGCCAGATGGTTTCGTGTAGTGCTTCTCTAAAATACAGTTCATGTGCAGCTTTCCAGTGCGAACTTGCACTCTTCCGAAAGTCGGCTTCTCTGGTATTTCAGCTTCTGCAAACAAGGAAACAAAATGGAGGTAACACAAATTTAATGACCTGATACATGAGAAAGGAATCGCACTCTTCCCGCAGCCGTAATCTGTTCTCCTCGGGACTGGCCCGGTCTGTGCTTTCACACCCGTTCCTCTCTACCCCCGGACACAGCGGGAGCCGTAAGGAATGGGAGAAGCGGTTCACAAATACGTATTTGGTGAGCAAAGTTACCTCCTCAGCCCGGTCTAGACAAAATACAGAACTTAATGTTTGCAATAGTCTGATACGATGTGGTAAATGTCTTGGGCGGAGGTGGAAAGAAACGTCTGCTGAATTTGGCCCTGACGGTCAGAAATCGAACTGAATCCTGTCACCCTGTGCGCAGTGGCGGGGTTGGAGGACGGGGAAGATGCCGTCAACAACCCGGTGCGCAGTGGCGGGGTTGGAGGACGGGGAAGATGCCGTCAACAGCAAGAAAGCAACGTGGCACGAGCCCGGTGTGAACAGGGCTGAGGAACTGCGCGACCATGCTGCTGGGAAGAGGAAAGGCAGCGATGCGCAGGGTCCCCGGGGAGCTGGGGTCTGTGCCTGCCGGGGACCCAAGCACGCAGCTAAAATGCTCTTTATTCCTGTTAATTTGCTGTCTTCTTGGTTAAAAAAATGCAGCTTTTTGTCTCCTTAACTCCTCTTTTTGCAGAGGCACGGATGGAAATATCTGCTGAAGTCAGTGCTCAGAGCGCTCTTTCCCGTGAGCGCTGAGCGCGGCGCTCAGCTGCGTGTTGCTGCAGGAGGCAGCGATTTCCATCTGTGCGAGCATGTGCTCCCCTGCGTAGTGCCCACGAGGAGGAACGGGAAGCGAGCGTTTCGTGTCATTCGCGCCGGATCTGCGCTTCCAGGGAGTTAACGCTGCACAAAGCTGGTAAATGGCTGCGCAAGGGGGGATGCAGGGTAAATCAAGGACTTAGAATCTGGGAGTTGAGAAAGGTGCCTCTCCCTTGCATGGCTTTATCAAGTGACCCTGTGAATTGTTCTCTTAATTTAAAAAATTTTGTAATTTTAACAACTTTTCTCTAAGGTGGTTCTTTCCGTGGGACTAAATAATCCGGAGGTGCTGTTGTGATTGCAATCACAAATCCGCTTGCCTGCCCCATACAAGCGTGCGTCTGAGCTTGCCCTCGTCAGAGGACGGCATGGCTCTGTGCTTCAGGCAAGCTACAAAACCATTCCACGATTTATGGCCAAATCCTGTGCTGAGGAACAGCGTGGAAAAGCAGAAAATCTTGATTTAAATAATTATTCTAAATCCAGTTTTACTTTTTTTTTTTTTTCCCTTAGGTACTTCATCCTTACTGGACGAGACCCATTAAGACATGTCGGCTGCAACCAAAGACGAGAGCTGGGCGAAATCTGGAACCCGGGCAGGTGATAACCAGATTAATATCTATTTAAGCAGCTACAAAGCTTAACATGTTCATAATTAAGCTTACCGTTTTCCACAGCAGAGTACAAAACCTAAATGGTGATTTCTTATTAAGTGGTTTCTATTTATTTATTTTAATCTAACTTGTGTCACACGGAATTTCCTGGGAATTGGGAGGCAGTTAAAACGCAGAAAAACTTGTTTAAACAAAACCACTTTAAACATGCTGGTGTTTCTGTACAGGCAGAATCACTGAAGTGTTTTGTATGTATAGACAAAAACATGGAACGAGTTTACTCCTACATGCGTTGCTTTTGAAGCTGAGTAAAAACAAGTATTTTGGAAAGCTACAATCGAAACCGATGAAGCGTATTTGTGCCTTGATGTGTTGGGTCGTGGCCTCTGCTTCCTCGCATTGAGAACGGCGCTAGGAAAATTGGGTTTCCCATCTCCTCAGTTCTACGTGGATTTACTGAGTGCAAAGAAAGTCAGGGAATATCATAGTGGTGAACAGCAACGCAATGGCTTTAAAATGATTTTTCTATCCCAGTTTGGTAGTGCTTCTTAATTAATTGATGTGAGATTAATAAGTGATGACAAGTCCAGGCCTGAAGTCCTTTTGCGAACTGGAGTTGCTTGATCTGTCCTGGCAATATATTTTATGGCTATTTCAGGTTCAGTAGAAGCTTTGTGGATTGGTCTGTTCTGAAGCTTGCCTTTTTCTTTCTTTTCCTTAATTTCAAGAGGAATTTGCTCATGGGAACAGCTCAGCCCCACACATCTCTTCGCGCTGCCCAGCCTTGTCTCACTCCTCTCTGCTAACGCAGCTTCTCTTGCCCTGTGCTGAGCACCAACATTCCAATTATGAACAAACATTTCATGTTTGATATTTATGCAGCAGCAGAGAAATCTAAATAATTAAATTCCCCCATGGCCTGAGCAAGCCAGGAGTTGGATGAGCTCCTTGACGGACGTGAGCTGTACTGGCTTAAAAGATTTGCTGGCATAATGGTTGCTACCTGTGTGCTCGTTCCTTAATGGGCACCGTGGCGCTAATCGTTAATAATTCAGCTCCGGCTCAGCAAATCAGGTTAACCTTTGGGAACGCACCGAGGTTGCTTTTCTCTGCAGCTTTGGTTCTCAGAGCAGAACAATGATTCACTCGAAGCAGGGGTGAGACCTGCAGCTTGCTTCTGGGTGGTTCGTTTGGGGCAGATGGCCATGAGTAAG